CACATTTTCACTCAATTACCCACAGATTTAGAAAGAGAAAAAGATAAACTCCAAGAATGAATTGTTGTCCTTTACGCTTACTTCCTATTTAACTGAGAACATCTTAATTGCAACCACGCCCCCTCAACAGTTGGGACAAATCATTTGGCAAATAGCAAAGCAAAGGGGACCAAACATTGAGAAAGAGACCCTCATTTCCTCCTAAAATAGCAGCAGTTCTTTCGTGAAGAATAACTTTAAATAATTCTCTGTACCACAAAGTCACAGAGGGAGGTTTATCCTTAACCCAATTAATGAGAATACATTTCCCAGCTACCAGCAATAGTTTGTCACATAATTTGCGCTGCAAGTGATTCAATGTTACTTCTTTTGAGGGTCGGCCAAGAAGAAAATACCCGGGGTCCCTTTGAATCAGATTGTTAAAAATATTACTTAGTTCTTGAGATACGAAGCTCCAAAATCTTTTGATTAATTTACATTCCCAAAAGTAATGAAAAAAAGTGCCAGTTTCTTTTTGACATTTACTACAAAAATGGGAAATATGAGGTGCAATCTTATGCATATATAAGACATTAGGAGCTATATAAAGGCGATGTACGAGTTTTTCTACTCTTGGATCTGTATGATGTCACTGAGAGCAGATATTAATATGATTAACTCTACAGCTCTAATTCAGACAGAGAAGGACATGAGGGACTGCACATGGCTCTAGTGTAAAGTTATTTTGAGCTCTTATTTAAGCAAAGCTCATCTAGAAGAGTTATAAGTGAAATCCCCCAACAGACTCTCCAAACATGCTGCTGACTCAAAAACACTTAAGCACAGTATAAAGTGCTGACTGTGAAATGAACCTAAGATGTGAAGCAGCTTTGTATAATTCATAACAGGGGAACCTGTCCACTACACTAAATATTCTGATGTACGTATGTACTGGAGTAGGCGTGTTCGGATCCAGTAAAGTGGGATTTGGCAGATTTGGCAGGGTGAGGGAAGAAAATAATTTAGAAATAAGACAAATACGCCCCAGCAGTTTTTTTTCTTTGCATACAGGCTGTGATCAGCTGACCTGTTTGTGGCTGCTGCTTGATTCTAACACTGCACGGCCGTAAGCTTCACCACAGCACTGCTCGCTAAGTTTAACCTGCACCAAACTGTATT